TACAAACGCATTCAGTTGTCAAACTTCACAGAGCTTTTTTTTAAGATGGTGATTTAGCATGGAGCCCGGTTGGTATTTGTTTGCTTATACAGCTATTTCCTGGGTTAGCACACTATCCCAAGTAAAATACACTTACTGGCCACTTCAATAAGTATGTGTTCAACTGTTTAATCCAAATATTAAACAATCACATAACACAACTCAGGCATGTGGACAGGAATAGAAAACGGGAACTCAAAGATGTGCAGAAGAGCATCTCTGCATGCACAACATGTCCAACCTTGAAGCAGATTGGGTCCAGCAGCAGAAGACCACACCACACACTTTTATAAGCAAAAAACTGTGATGCTGTCATGTCCGTGTGCATCAAAAGGGGCAACAGGTAGTAATGTAGTGGCCAGTAAGTTTATTTCGTACCCAACCTGGTTGTCATCGTTTGCCTTTGTGCTTGTAGTTGTCAAGGTAAGGTCATGAATTAAGCCAAAGAAAAGATAAGTTTCAAAATGCTTTATATACAAGTTGCACATACAACATAAAGACTCAAGATGTTTTATACACTTTGTACATCAGCTGACTAGAAACCACTGACAACAGAAGTGATATGAGGAGAGAGAACACACAAAGTCGTCAAAGTAAACCACAAAATAATAATAAAAATCAGTATAGTTAATTCACCACTACGCCAGTTTGGATGGCAAATATCAAGAAACTGCAAACTAAATATCGTTGGTTTTGTGTTAGTGTAACACCTTCTCCCCAGCAGTCGTACAGTTATCTTCTATTCAGCTCTTCCTAAGTTTTAAATGTGCCCCTTGATTCACACAACGCCTTTTCCATATTAGCTCATTTTCAGTGTCATGTGGGCTCCTAACATGAACACGTCACCCACAGTAAGGCACAGTGACTAAAAGAAAAAAGAAAAGGGTTCATTCGGAAATATGAAGAGGAAAGTTTCACACCATTTTTGTACAGATACATTTTTTTGGAGTACAACACAAGTTAAACATTGTGCCTTTGTTTCGTAAAGCAACTAAAGACTGACGCAGCCAGACAGCCACTCCGACACGGTACAACTGTAAGACACTGAACAGAGAAATTCTGAGAAACAAGTACCAATAATCATACTCATGAACACAATAATCAGTAAGTTAGTTGGCAAGGTTATGAGAAACTGGCAGCCTTTTAAAAGTTAAATCTCAACATGATGAGCCTATCGTCGCAGGTGAGGGATATTTGGTGCCGCGAAGCACTGGATTAATGTGCCTGTTTTGTAATGGAGACGCAATGCCGAATGGATGCTTTGTTGATCCTCTATCAGTCCACCAGAGGGAGCACTAGTCCGTTAATCAGAGAGAGACATGACTGTTCGCATCTGAGATTTATTCAGCCTCTATCTGACTGGTTTCCCTGTCAGCAGCCAGCACGAGATGAGGAGAAGGGATGTAGGCAGAGGCCCTTTTTGCACATGCAGGTGCTGCACTTCATTGGAGCTAAAATCAGATTTGACAGCAGGTGGTGCGGATTTACTGGGATGGAACGAAAAATCTGTTGCATATTGTGCTGTAGTATCTGGCCGGGGCTGCTCAGAGGATCAAAGTTTAACTGTTGTCCTCGTTCTCTTCCTGCTGGTCGTCTGTCAGAATCTCTGGTAGCCGGAAACACTCCTCGAAGAAGTTGACCAAGGACTGGCTCAGGTGCTGCTGTGTCCCCTCGCCGTGTAGGAAGTGTCCTTCATCTGGATAGATCTGCAGATAAAGATGGGGAAATTGACAGAGACAGTACGGTGAGGCTGATTTGGTGTCGTTCACTCAAAATCATATTATTATCTTTTTTTAATAATGTTTTTTCATTGGATAATGAAAATGCATTTTCTGAGAAAAAAAATACTAAAGCATAGCGCTGAAGTGTAAAAGAGTGACAAATGCACATAAAACTGGATGAAAAGAAGTTTTTCTTGGACATTTCAATCATTTTCAATGCAGTCTTTGTACCTGATCATTTTCAGAGTAATGTTGTTTAGTTTGATAAGTCACTTAACACTGAACCATGAATCATTCAAGCATAAAAAAGACACCGAACTCAAGGGATGAACCCGTGTTTACAGAAAGTTAACAGCCTAACAAAGAATAAAAAGGTATCTTTATGCACTTTGTTAATAGCAGCCTGTCGCAAAATTCCATAATTGTTTGCATTTCTTTATTACAATCTATGAAAAATATCAAAGACAACACAGTTTGACTGGCAGAGCTGTTAGATAAATACTTGGCATATCTTAGTGTTGAGTGCTGTGTGAAGTGGAGGACAAAAGAAGACGTGGTAGGCTTTAAAAAAAAAAAAAACAAAAAAAGAGGTCTACAGCAGACAAACAGTATCTGAAAGTCATGTTCTAAAAAATACATGGGAAAAAAATCCAGCAAAGACCCGGCATAGGACCTGAGCGACACATCTGACCCTTCAGCTGATCCATCTACTGTTGTATCTGTTCTCCAAAGTCTCATCCAGAAATGGTCTCAGTGAAACGGTGGCTTGTCAAGAAGCTATTACTAAAAATTACAGGAGGATTTTATTATTTATTTTATCCTTATACACTGTATTTATTAAAAAGCCTTTCTGGCATGTATACAGGCAACAACAACAACAACACTAATTATGATATTGTGGGGGAAAAACAGCAAAACAGCAATATCCGACTGTGCACTGGGACACTGCATAAACATAAACTGCATGTAAATAACTGAACAGTTCTTCAATCTGCAAAACTAAGAAAAAGTTATTTGTCAAGCTAAAATGGGAAAAATTAGAAAGAATAATACACAAATTAATCTGAAATGAAAATAACTCTTAGTTACTTCTCTCAAGAGATTTTGAGAGCAT